GCAAGGGTGTTTGAGCTCCGCTAACGTGAAACACGGGGAAGGGCGAAGCACGATGTTTGTTTGTTCTGCTGCTTCTTTGCATGCCCGCGTTAAGTTCCCTGCAATATTTGGGAAGGGCTCACAACCATTCTAGATGTGAAGCAAATATTTGACTAGCTCGTGTAACGCCGTCCGTCCATGTCACCGTGTGAACGCGCCGTGCCGCGTTCCCCCACCACAGTTGCTGGAACGATGCAAAGTAGGTCAAGTCGCAGCTGCGCGTTGACGTCACTCTCCCTCACCCGCAACAGCTTCCGACTCCTGCCAACACACCTAGGTGGTGCTGCTCCTCCGCCCGCTCGCAACACACTTCTCTCTCGCTTCACCCTCTCCACCACCCGCAACGCTCGACCGCAATTCTAGTGGAAACGCTCTTTCGGCTCGTATATCTGCGATAAAACTTACACGAAACCCAATTCACCTCCCATCCATGTTTTTGCGTTTCAAAGAAACGTTTACTCGAGTAAAGGCTACACCGAATTCCGCTTCGAACCGTCTTTCCAGCACTTACATCGACGCCCGTTTCAGTTGGGTCAACGGCGTGCGCACCTCTGCTGCTTCGGATCCCGCCATGGGATCCGAAGCAGCAGGGGAGATGGTCCATCATTTTTTATGAGGAGCCGTGACTATATGACATACCGCGACGATATTAGGCGGCGGCAAGCCGATGACCGACAGGCAATTTACCACGCCATGGTCACGTCATAACTGCTTCAGCAAATTTGTCGACTTTGTGTCGTCGTGCACTGCCACGATAATATGCCGTCATGACGTGATGTTAACGTTATGACAGACCGTCGCTACACGATACACCGTGACTACAGAAGACGCCTACAAGCTGAGAACCTCAGGTGCTTTGCATCGTCTACCTTGAACGGCGTGTACAAAGATACGGATGGTCCCAAAAGTTGAACCAAGTAGTAAATTCCAGTCGTCAATAAAACGCACTGGTGAGTGTACAGTAGGGTGTCATGGTTAAGCCGTTCTGACGTCTCGTCGGTAACTCTGGCACGAAATTAGTGGGTCTCGGCAATGTATATGTGCCTTCCTTCGATTACAGCGCACGGTTCATGAACCAATCGAAACTCCGCTTACATATCTCGCATTGCGCACAAGTACGATCCCTCGAAACATCACGATCAGTTTTCGCACAGTTTTCCCGTTTCCACGTGGCAGCGCCTGCCCGACAATGCTGTAGTGTATGCATGCTCTCAACAGATACTCGATCATGCGAGCGCAATTATCAAAGTTCGGGCAGCAGAACGAGCGCGCGTGACTATATATTACGACAATTAATGCATTTGTCAGGCACATGTCTGACAGCCAGTTCATTTATTTCAGCGCAGACGGGTTATATGAAACAGCTGGAGAGACAAACCGAAACCGGTCAGCTATCGATCTGAGGTAAGACAAACAAACCAGTCGGTCGCTCCTAACTACATGCATCACAACGCGAGATCGGAGAAGCCGATTTCCAGCACGAATCGGCGAAGCCTATCCTTGCCTTCTCTGTTTACCACGGGAACTGGGCACCTTTTAGAGAGATAAGTGGATCGAAGGGGGCGCTGTGTTCGCTCCGGTTGTTGCTGGTAACTATACGGCGCCAAGGATCGTATACCTGTTGCTGGCTCTGCACGGCTTGGCTCGTCCCGTTCGCATGGCGAAAACTTTCCGCGCCCAGCGGTGGCCACTCTGCATCCGACTCGTTTGGCAATCGTCCGGGATAGCAAGGATTAATTACATGCTCGCCTGGCGTTGCTGCCCCAACGGTCAACAATTACGCCGGCCCGCGGCGGTTCGCAATGCGAATTCGCCGCAGCGCGCAGGCTGCGTTTTCCGAGAATCGCGCGCGTGCACGCCCCGAGGTGAAACTGTGAGAGCGCATATCTCGTTACGACGTCGCTTGATTTCTCTTATTACTCTGAGCGTGAGATCAGAAGCGGCGAGCGATACGCGGCGATGGTCTCTCGCGCGCCGCCCGTTACGCTTTATCCGCCCTATTCTTTTCTAACGATCGTTTACGAAAATTGTCGGCATTGCCGGAATATAATGCAACGCACACCTCGGGACAGCTTTTGCTTGCGGTAATCGTCGAATAAACTATACACGGATTGGCTATACAGAGTTCAAGCAAATTGCAACATACTCGCAGCAAGCATCTTCATGAAAGTTCATTGGGACTATTGTTATTTTTATCTATTGCGTGCTGACCCATCGCAAATATGAATGTTTGTTTATTTGCTTGCGTTTCTAGCATTAGGCATGGTAAAAAGAGACCTGCTGTCACTTTTATGTGATATACTTTATAGTTTCACTCGTTTCTTATGTGGTTCAACTATCGCACCAAAACGTGCACCTACTAAAGATGCAGCATAATGTTTAGGCGAAAACTATCACGCACTGTCAGATCACTTCCCATTACAGTCGCTGTCATCTTTCAAATACTTATTATCGCTATTCGCGACAGGGATCTGTTGCCGGGCAGAGATATCTAACACGCCGTCGCTAGCCGTAACAGCCTCTGCGCACCTATCGCCAATGTCGCTGCTTATCGGCATGCTACGGGTTGCAATGAGTGTCATGCTATTCTTGCCCACGACAGCGGTTTCGTCCTTATCGTAATTATCACTCTTCCTAACGCTAATCTGCTATGAGTGGCGATACCTGTTTTTACGTATGACAGAAAGGAAGAACATCCGCCAAATGAATGTTTGAAAGAAAAAAGACAATTCTGCTTCCGTAGTGAGACGTAGTTCATTTTGAGACGTACATTGTAAAATTGGTCGGTGTTCTCTCTTTCTTTCATTATGTTTCGTCCCGACCATACCGGTTTGATTGATATATGGGGTTTAACGTCCCAAAACCACCATATGATTATGAGAGACGCCGTAGTGGAGGGCTCCGGAAATTTAGGCCACCTGGTGTTCTTTAACGTGCACCCAAATCTGAGCACACGGGCCTACAACATTTCCGCCTCCATCGTAAATGCAGCCACCGCAGCCGGGATTCGATCCCGCGACCTGCGGGTCAGGACCATACCGGTCGCCTACCGGTTTCAACCTTTATGTATGTTCTTCCGATGTTTGTACGTGAGCGTGTACATCTGCAGGCGCAAAAAGTTTTGAAGAACTTCAGTAAACAAGGGCGATAGAGTCTGGACACGATTAGACAATCCGTTGCTTATGGGTGCTGTGCTTGGCTGTTTGTATTGTGCGATAAAAAGAGTGTGCTGATCCTTTTAACCGTACTGTCTTATTTATAAACTTTTCGCTAAAAAGAAATGCATCATTAGCAAACTCCAACGAAAATATTGCTTGAACCTAGTTTTTCAAGACAATATTCACGGAATATGTTTTTCAATCTTTAAAAAGCGCTGGTGAGCGGTCAGGAGACTAACGAAGTGTGCGTGGTTGAGCGACCCGCGATGACATCGAACGTCAAGCAAGAACCGAGGGAAAGAAAAAAAACATAAAGAAGGTACCCACACTCTGTGGCTGCCTCCTCAAGATCATTTCTTGTGTGTTTAGAAAAAGTGGTTAACGATTCAGAGTGTTCGGTACTCTATATGGGAGAACATAGAGCCGTCCCATGAGCTCAGACTTGATGGGCTCTGGCCTAAGCAGACATGTCACACGGAGCGAGCCTGATGGTGCGGTAAATGGGCTTGTGGTTTGTGTCTCTTCGCGCAGGCTCATACTGATTTCCACCCGCAAATTTCGCAGCTTTTGTTGCTTCGCAAGTAAACTTTTTTTTTTTGAAGCGATATTCAATTCAAGAAACCTTTCTTTATACCGAACAGATTGCGACCGCAGTCGTCTACATTAGAACGCATTTTATTCTCGTCTTTTTGATGCATATTTGCATGATGTCCTTTTTATCCGGCAATACGAACTGAACGAACTCATATTGGCGATGAACATGAAAGCTCAACTAACTTTAGGCTCAGTATAAAGAGCCTACCCCCCCCTCCCCCCTGAAAAAATATTCCTGCTGGCTGCCTGCTTGATCGCAGCCCGGCATCAGCCCGTTGATTCTGCACATCTACATTCGATGACGCGTTGATGAAAGCCCTCGGTGAACGCCATTTCTCGTTTATTTTCCTCATCGACAGCGGCGGACACTAACGAAACGTGGCATCTGATCCCTTTTCGTTTTCAGCGCCATTCGCTTCCCATCACATTATAGCAAAAACATAAGCTTCAGCTGTGGCGCGCACGAGCGCTGATAGAGCACGGCATCAGGACGAACGAAGCCGCTCGGTTATTACGAAAGCGACACCTCGATTGCGCAATGGCCTTGCGCTGTTCTTGCGGACTTCGTTACACTGTGGCCACACTACCGCGTTACGGGGGCAGGCAGACAAAGCAACGCGTTGCTGAAAATGGATACACAGTGATCAGGTGCTTCGGCTGTCAGGTGACCGAAACTGTGCACGTCGAACCGGCGCGGCGCCACCAGCGCCACCCCTGACGACAGGAGCGTTTTCTCCGGTGCGCTGCAGTGAAGCAAGCTGCGCAGGTAGCCAAAGGCTGCGCGTGCCGCTCAGCTCGGGTCGGAGCGTAACCGCGCTTGTGTTCGCGCTGGTCAGGACACTGCAGCACGAACCGGTGTCCGCGATTCCCGTAAGTAAGAAAAAAAAAATCGTCACGAAACACTGTTCACAGACGTGGAGATCAACTTGTCGCCGGCATCCGGATGGTGTAGTTATTTTTCTAGAATAATCTCGGCTGCAATGTTTTCATTCGCGCCGTCACAGAACACCTAGCGCCGTCCCAGCAACGACGGCGCGTTTCTCTGAAGCAGCGATCAATTCGAAGGCTGTAAAACACCACGCGTATTAAACGAATAGCAGAAGTTAGCTTGTGGGCTGATTTAAAACAAGGAGAGCTTGTGACCGCGCAGGTGAAGCGGATGCGAGAGATCCAAATACAGATAAAAAGGAAGAAGGTTGCTTTACTCACTGATGTTGAGTGGAGGCATTTTGACGAAGTCTCGGTCTTCTGCTTGCCTCGAGTCCTGGAAATCCCCTCGGTCGCCCTCAGAAACGGCGCGGCGACGGCGCACCGGCCCGCTACCGGTAGGCCTGCCAATGTTTTTCCTCAACCGCGGAGCCAGCCAGCGCGCCGGCCGCCCGGCCCGGCGCCCCGGCCCAAGCGGCGGTGGTGGCGGCGAAGAGGGTGGCAACGACGACTCCGCCGTGGCTCTGCCCAACCCGCGGCTGGGCGCGCACTCATCGGGCAGTGTCTTTCGAGCAACGGCTGGCGGCTCACGCGCAGCGAGCGGACGACGACGGCGCGGCGAGCAGCAAACACACACGCGCGCGCGCCACGCAAATCACTCCGGCGAGACGCGTCAGCTGAGTGGAAGAGGCCACAGCACAAAACGCCGCGACGCGCTCGCGCGCCGGCACAAGCAACGCGCAGGTCGCTACGCAATGTCCGACGCCGGCGGAGCGACACTGCTGGGAGCGAGGTCCGCGCCCACTCCACCACGGTATTCTCACCCTCCCCGATTGCAGCGGCGGCGGATGCGAATGAAAGCGCTTCTGCGGCGCTGGAGGGCCAGGCTGGGCTTAGCCAGCTGCTTGGGGTGACGGGGGACTCCATGCGCAGTCGTCGTGGAGAGGGGGTAATGCGGGGCCAATAGTAATAATAAAAACGTGCGCCATCGTCATGGTTGCAGCCACGCCACCGCTGTCAGCGAGGAAGAGGAGGATGGGGAAAAATTAGAGAGAAAGGGTAGAGGCTCCCAAAGTATGGGTGCTGGAGGGGGGGGGGACTTCCGGCGCCGGTTCGGAGGAAGTCCTCCTCCGCCCGTGCCCAGCCCGTGTCAGTGGCAAACCGCTGAACGCACCTCGCCACCGATTCCTTCCGCTGGCCGCGCATGCGTGGTCTGTGCACCGGCGTCAGTGACGTAACTCTTTGTTGAGATGACGTAAGACTTTACGAAAGATAGAATGATAGGTGTTAGTTGTCCCAATCGTGATCGTGATTGAGAATGTGAGACATTTTAAAAGGGCAGGTCGGGAAGCGTGATCCATCTTAGGCGATCAATGCCTACTGCTGGCTGTTGGTGCCGTGCGCTGGTTATTGGTCCAACAATGATTCATCCTCCGGCCGCCTTGGCATCTTCGCTCCACGACAACATCGGGTCAATGGGTTAGGCGCTGGCATTCAGCCAATTCGATCCATCTTTTTTGTTCCGGAGCATTAACTGCAGTAATTTATGCGCAGCTTTTCGTTACTTTCTTCTTGTTTCCCAAGAGGCGATTTTCTTCGAAGATGCCTTGTTGTATCATCTCCTACATCTATCAGTGTGCTGATGCTTTCGCGAATGATAAATCAAGTTTTAAGTTGTCCTGTCGACGGGTCGACGAAAATTGTGGAACTCACGCAGACTCACTCAAAAAATACATGCTGCACTTTGGACTCACTAGGGTCATAAACTCACCAAATTTTTTTGTGAGCCGGACTCACTTAGACTCAGACTTACGAAAATTTTCTGTCGTCCGAATCACTCGGACTCAAACTCATCGAAATATGAGTCAGCCGGACTCACTCAGACTAACGGCACCATCTGAGTCTGAGTGAGTCGGCTCACGAGTCCGTTAGCCTAGAAGTAGATTTTCCAACCGTGGCGTAAATGCTGTTTAACGTGAATATTTCACGTATTCGGTGCTCCTCTTGGCGCCTTTTCATGTGGTACCTTCGAATACAAGTTATGAAGGGTTGTTATCAAGTCAGAAGATTTTTCTTTAGAAATATGACTGCCATGAGATATATTTATCCAGAACTTCCAAAGCAGAGTTGGCTAGGGGGAGGGGGTCGAGGCACGTAATTCTCGCGTCTGATCAGTAAACATTTAGGTGAGTGTATAAAACCATATCGCTTTGTAATACTTGTGAGTAGACGTGAGTGTAAACCTGGATACAGGTAAGGCTGATAGTAATTCTGAAGAGAAGTAGATAGAACAATAGGTCGGCAAAATAATGTTGAATTCAGTCAGACTCACTCGAGAAATACATCTTGTGCTTTGGGCTTACTCGGACTCACACTCGCGAAAATTTTCTACAGCCGGACTCACTCGTACTTAGTCGTGTCATTGCATAGCGTCCATTGAAACCGTCTGCTGACATGGACTCGCCTTTCAAGAATTGAATGTGCACGGACTTCGAAGGAACAATGCAATGCTGAGAACGGCACGAACGCGTACTCACCCTTTTTTGCTTGCTTTCGTTGTCCCAAAATCTAATAAAAGTTTGCAGAATTAATCCAAACGATATCTCACAAGGTCTTGAATTAACGTGCGCTGATTGTATTCATAGATTACAGCTGAAAAAAAGAACCAAACCTTCACTTACATGATTCGCTGCCACACGCGTAACGAAAACACATACCAGCACCGTGGAGCGCTCCAGCTCTAGACTTTTCAAATATGTTCTAAGACATGTGTTATATTGTTGCTCATCACTAATTTAAAAACTGTAAACAGGGGAATTTCAGGCACTTGAAATAAATAAATAACTAAAAGTGATAAATAAATAGATATCTGCAAATAATGACCAAGCCCGCCTCGAGCCAACTCTGTAACCGTCATTTTCGTTGGCTCATTCAGCCTCACAAATTATAGTTATGGAAATTATAGAGCTTGGGGTCGATAACGGTTACTGCGGTAGGGAAGGAAAAGAAGAACTTAAACGGCAGAGACTTCTGTATTGCCTAGATTCATGCCCCCATTTCCATTCCTTTAGCACAGCGAATTGACGACCTCCGTGAGGCATTCGGCTTCGCGCTGCTCAAAGTGAATTGCCTCCTCGGTCCTATTTCGTAAGCCTTGGGCGTATGACCCACGCGTGACGTGCAGTGCGAAAGAATAAATTGAACCTGCTTTATTTTGTCCATTTTAATCCTCTCAGCACTTATGTACTCAAAGAAAGAAGATCCCGTGGGTGGGACAGAAGAAAGAGACATAGATTTTTTTCTGTACGATCTCGCCGCAGTTGATAAAACTGTCTGCGTCGGCAGCCTTGGGCGAAGTGTATCCGAGTGAAGCGCTTCGTCCTTTGTAATGAGTTGACTAACGGGAAGCTTTATGAACGTGTGAAGGAGGTGTGATGCCGAGAAATCGGTATTGGGACTATCGTTGCTCTTTGACAGGCTGCATATTTACCTGCCAAAGGAAAAAAAATCAACGTATATCTATAACGCCTACTTCCACAGCGCATGTTAGGTCCCTCGCAACTCCACGAACAGTTACGTATTCAACAGGATACTATCATCACCATCATTATTACGAACTGCCTTTACCCTTAAAGTTTTCTAAAATTAACTCGAGAGGACTCAGGCGCTGTGATCAGCCGGCACAGGAATTATTGGTGCCTTCGTGCTTGCGGGCTTCAAACGCATTTGGGGTTTTTGTTTTGATTGAAATGAAAGAACGAACCGTTGTGGACTTTGTAAGTCAATTACTATTGGCAAACCTAAACAAGATCAAGGTGGTGAAGCGTAACGGCTGAATTCATGCCCAACGAAGCCAAATGGAGCCGAAAGAACAATGATTAGACTATCCACCATTCCCATGCATGCTATTCGAAGCGCCACGAGTCGTATAGTTCCCTTGGACACTAGTGCCCGAATCCCCTACAGTGTATATAGGAAACTGTATTCCTTTACCTATACAGAGATAAAGCGGTAAAAGCTGCCGTGGCCACCCGTACCGAACACAAGTGACAGCTAGCGAACCGGGTTAATTGGTTGACATCGCCGTGACCCTGAGAGTGTTGCTAATACTATGAACATATCGTAACTCGGCGAGAAGCTCGCTAATAGAAAGACGCCTACTCAATAAATTAGCAGGTATGCGCCATAGCAATTAGCTAAACACCACTACTCACCGTTGGTATAGGCTAAAACTAAATAGATTCAAAGTTAATAAATAAATTAAATAAATATGCGCACGCTGCACTTATAGACCATGCATATCGAGGTGGACATGATTTTAAGGGCCATACGGTAAAATGAAGTATTATATGTAAATGTATTGCACTTAATAATGTATTATATTAAATGTACGTTAATTATGAATGAATACATAAATAAATTAATAAGATGCAACAACGAAGCTTTCCTGCGAACACTTTATATTATTCTTGACGAACTGTTTGTCTCAAGAAAAAAATTCGGCACACATAAACCACATGAACATCAACGTCTTTTTTCACGCTGGCACAGAGTTGGCACCGCTATGCTCCTGGTGAAAATAAATAAATAAATAAATAAATAGATAAATAAATAAATAAATATTCCTTGGGCTACACAGTTTGGTCAGTAATCCAGCTTCAGAGAGTGTATTAACTCCTGCATTTCTTTCTTTCTTGCTTTCTTATTCTTTCTTTCTTTCTTTCTTTCTTTCTTTTTTTCTTTCTTTTACTGTCATGAAACATTACGTCAGGCACTATATTCTACACTTTTTGCTTTTAAATACCTCTCACCCGCGACGAACTCTTAGGTCAGTCTACGTCAGCTGTAACGTGTCTGCATTCGGCATCAGCTACGGCGCTAAATTAGCTGTGGAGGCCGCTTGGAGGGAAGCGCTTACTACGGCGCTTCTTCGGCGGCGAAGTATGTAGGTCGCATCCATAACTTACCAAACTCGTGCCGCGGACAGCGACGTTCGTCGGTTGCAGCCGCTAGAAGGATTCACGTCGCCTATGCGGTGGAAGCTGGTAGCCCGGTCCAAGCGCGCAAATGTCACATGGCACCCACACTTTCCTCTGTGGGTTCATATGAAAGGTCATCTCTTCCGTATGTATGTTTTGCGAGACAACACGATTTATAGCTTCGTGCGTAAAAAAAAAATATTGCGTCATTACGTTACGCGACGTTAGTCACCGTAGTGGCAGAATATAATTAGACATTGCATATTGCCAGGTCATCAATGATCAAACAAGTCACTGACAAATGCGAATAATCGCTCGCTACGCTCGCATTAAAGCCGGATGCGCGACCAACTTTGGATCTTATCAGCAGGACGTCAATTCGACCCCATGTATCGATCTAAATAGGATATAGTTGAAGTGTGGGAATGACGTCAACAGGGTGGCGTGAGCAACGTGCTTCCTACTTAAAGAAACCTTCAAAGCTTTGCACTTTGATTGTCGCCTCTTCGCTGTAGCAGCGACGAAATAATAATAAACAATTTTGGGGTAACAACGTTCCTAAACTATGATATGTTTATTAGGGATGCCGTAGTGGAGGTCTCCGGAAATTCAAACCACGTGGTGTTCGTTAGCGTTCCCTCAAATCGAAGCATACGGGCCTCAAGGACGTCCGCTTAAATCGAAAATGCGGCCGCCGTGGCCGGAGATTTCAGTTCCGCGACTTGCTGGTCATCACTCGAGGCTCCAGCACAGTATACCGACCAAACCACCGTGGTGGTCTAGTGGTGGCAGCTGACGGATTTTTTTTTTACATATGTGTCTTCACGATGCGGCAAAATTCGC